CCCGTTAAAACAACCTGGCAACGCAGAGCAACTAGTAGAAGGGTTATTTTCAAATTTCTTGTACATTTGCTGTCTCCCATCTTTAATATTTTATAAAAAATTGAGTTTTACGCCATTTGGAACTTTACTAAGCGAAATCAATTGGTTTAAGTGTTTTTAGCAACTATATATTAGCAAAATTGTAAAATTTTAAATTTAACCCCTTTAAAAAAATTAAACTTTCCCCAACAGTACAGAAAAGTAGCTGTTCCACTTGCAATAATATTTACTACTTAATGCTATTTAAACATCTTAGAGTAAATTAACATTTCTTTTTTATATAGAATATATTCCAAATATTACAGAAAAAGCCCATTTGTGGTAATATTTAAAAATAAGTGGTTAAAATAACCCCTAAAGTTTGTCCCTTAATTTTGATCCCCTAGGTCACGTCTCCTGGGTCACAGTTTTTATAAATGACCTTTTGAATTAAGGGCACATTTTTTAGTGCTGCACCCTTGAGGCAACGGATTTGGTAACGGATTTTAGTTGAAAATGGTGTTTTGAACTATCTTGAAGCCCCAACACGTTTTTTTGTATTTTTTATACCAGCGGGGCAAAACTGCATTCTCCTGTGTCACAGTAATAAAAAGTTGGAAAGGTACCAGTTGGACTTTGTTTGATTCTCAAAAGTATCCTATAGTACTATAGTAATGGTTTTAAGGGCAAAAATACAAATTTTTATCTTTAAAACAGTAAAGAGGTTATGTTCTAAAAACATACATTTTTTCCCCTGGGTCACACGTCTCCTGGATCACATATTGTGTGATCCAGGGGAAAGTTATGTGACACAGGGGACAAATCCAAAGAAATAAATTATAATATATTCTTAAAATAATAATAAACTTATGAAAGTTTTAAAAACATTTTTTTTCGACCTTCCACCTGTTCTGTTTGTGACAGTACGTAGCCAATTTAAAATAATGTCCTCCACCTTTTTAATAGTAATTTTTCTAGTCATTGTATTTTGCCTCAAAGAAGCTGGAAAAAATTTTGGTAGTTCAACGAAACAATAGCTGGCCATAAACAGACGTTATTGCGCGAGGTTTATCGTGTTATCTGCAAAAACATATGGAAAATCATGTACGTGAGTGAGTATCGCCGCGCGCAATGATAGAACGGGAAGGTATTTCAGACGTGCTTTCCTTTGGATTGTGGCGTACATCATTTCAGCAGTGTCCACACGCCACACGCCACATTCCGCGTCACGTGACACTTTTTGGCCACTCACATACGATTTTTCCTTTGAAACTGATATACTACGCGCAATCACTTGCTAAATCATTTGAATACTTTATCAAGTGTATGGAACATGATGCTTTTTTTGCCATGCCGTTCTTTCGTGCATGCAAACCGCTACATCCCAACACGCCATGATAAACCGCGCAAAATAACGCCTGTGTATGGCCAGCTAATGTTTATATTGACTTTTTATTATTATTTTATTAATATTACTAATGACTAAAACTTTTTATTAATTTATTGCTCGTTAAATTGGACAAGAAAATTTCTTAAAATCACCTTTTTTTAATGGACATTTTTCAAAAAAAGAAAATATATTAAAAATACTTATGTATGTAAGAAAGTTGGGAAATAGAACATAGTTTTTGCTTTTACTTGGGTTTTTACTCAACATTTTTTTATAAATAATAAATTTATGTTCTTTTTTTAAACAAATCCCAGTGTAAATAAAACCTTAAAAGGATTATAGCAAAAACATATATTTTCAAAATGATTAAGCATTTTTATATAAGTTTTTTTAATGTTAATAAATTTGTGAGCCAGGGGACCATCTTTTTTCTTTTTTAAGGGCTTATTTAAAAAAATCCAACTGCTCACTTTTAGGTGTTAAATAACACCCCTAAATAAACAAAATTTTGAAAAAAAAACAGGTTAGGGGACATCCATTAATTAAGTGAGATAAAAATAGGGGGGAGGGGTCTAGCAAAATCACCAAATCTCATGTTAAGGTAGGGGGGTCATTAAAAATCTCACGTCAACTTTTGGGTTTAAAGAATATGTATTATAATTCAAATTTGTCAAAAAAAAGTAATCAATTTTTATTTTTTGGGTTTATCATGTTGTCCGCAAAGAAAGCTTAATGGCTAGAATCTCACATCTCACCAAATCTCACCAAGGGGGAGGGAGGGGTCCAAATTATCAGAAAAATGCCTCACGTAATTAATGGATGTCCCCTTAGTAGATTATGAATTGTTTTTACTTTTTTTTCTTTAAATGTACAAGAATTTTCAAAATGACCCAAAAGTAGTTTTAGAGGAGTGGGAAAAAGTTTAACAAAAATAAATAAATAAAAAAAGCATGCCTCGTCGAATTCGTGCTCGCATTGAGGCTAGAGGTGGAAACACTGATTATTAAATTAACAAAAACGTATTATTTCTTACTAAATTCTAATTTATTGTAAAGTTTATTCTCAGAGAAATTCACATTTTTTGTAATCTTAGAAAATTAGTTTTAATAAATATATACATATATACAGGGTGGAAATCTTAACTGGAATAAATTCTGTATTTTGAAAACCACTTACTTTTTTAAAAAATCCAGGTCAATTTATAATTTACCTGGGTAAATTGTCGTAAATCTTAAAAATATAAGAAACCACCCTTTGAGGGTGCAACCAACCCTAACTTTTTTTTTCAAACGCAAAGGTATATCAAGTGATACATCATTTGAAAGCTCTTTTTAATAGGAATTTATACAAATATGCAATTTTTAATTATTTTATTTTGATACCTTAAAGAAATAAATCCTTTTTTTATATCCACCAAAAACGTTGTATATTCAACGGAAAGAATATATTTTAGTTCTTTAAAATTAGTTGCAAGTAACGTGTTCCAAATTAACCGTAAAAATGTCTTATTTAACTGAAACTTTGCGTATTGAGATTCTAATTATGATTGGATTTGGTGATAGACGTCGAAATCAGACAGAAGTTGCACGATTATTTAACGAAACGCATCCAGAATTGCCTCACATTTGCCAAGGGACTGTTAGTAAAGTAGAAGCAAAATATCACGAAAATGTTCATGTAAGAAATATTCCTAGACAACGCCAGCCTATTGTTGAAGACAATACGAAGCTTAATGTACTATTAGCAATCCAAGAAAATCCTGTTACTTCAGCTCGACAAATTGCCCGCGAGAACGATTTGAGCCACACCACTGTAATGAAGTTACTACATGCTTCAAAAATGCATCCGTATAAGATGCAAGCAGTACAGGAACTAATTGGGGATGATACCGATCGCAGAATTGAATTTTGCGAGCAAATGATGAACCTTATTAATGATAACCAAATTTCCTTAGATTGTATACTATTTTCCGATGAAAGTACGTTTACTTTAAATGGTGAAGTTAATCGTCTAAATTGTAGATATTGGAACGACAGCAATCCTCATTGGATTGAAGAAAATCATACACAGTATCATGGGCGCCGCTACATAGGGGCAGGGGGGGGCCCGGGCTCTAAAAAATATGTGAGAAAAAGTGAAAAAAACGACTTTTAGAGCTACTACAATCAACGTAAATAAATCAAAAACAAAATTGATGCAGGGCCTTTCAAAAACCGTGAATACTATGCAGAAAATTATGGTGATAAAAATTATAATTCAAAACCCGGCCAAAATATAGAAATTTAAAGTAAAAATGATTAAAAATACATGCTTTTTATATGGAAAAACTAAAAAATTAAAAAGGAAGTACTTAGAATCAAAATTAAGGGCTCAAATTTTCAGGGAATTTTTTTTAACCTAAAAAACAAAATTTTCATGTGTCAGCAAGAAAAAAAAATGTTCGTTTTAAATGAAACACCCTAGCGTATACTTAAGACGGCTGTACTAGAGATTCCTCGGCGATACTATTTTTTTATATTTATATATTTACCAAAAAACTGTGATGTAGTTTTTGCAATATGTACCAATATAAATAAATAGGTAAATATACATATAAAGATGATATTTTATTTGGCTTAAGTTTAATGTGAACTTCTACATTACAACTTGATTATAAATAACATCTATCAAACTTGTAAAAAACTTTAAGGGCCCCCCCCTAGACGAATTCCTTCCGGCGCCCATGCACAGTATCCACAAAAGGTAAATGTTTGGGCTGGAATAATTGGTAGGTAATAGAATAATTGGTCCCGCCTTTTTAAACGAAACTCTAAATGGCGAAAGGTACTTAACTTTTCTTCAAGAAGATCTTATACCATATTTGGCAGTTCAGTTTCCAAATGAGAATGATCCAGACTTACCAGATAATAGAGTCTGGTTTCAGCAAGATGGAGCTCCACCGCACTACGCATTTCCCGTTCGTGGATACCTAAATAAAATATTTCCTAATCGGTGGATTGGTAGAGGTGCAGTTGAGTGGCCAGCCCGATCTCCGGACCTTACCCCGTTGGATTTTTTCCTGTGGGGTTACCTTAAAAATAAAGTTTATGTAACCAAACCAACTAATATTGAAGATCTTAAAGAGAGTATCCGACACGAAACTTCTTTAATATTACCTGAGATGTTGGAAAAGGTTAAAAATGAATTTTATAATCGTCTATTATTTTGTCAAGAAACCAGAGGAGCTCATTTTGAACATCTTTTATAATAAATCCATATTTATCATAAAATGAAGATTTTATTATTTATAATTGTACAAAACTAAAATAATTAAAAATTGCATATTTGTATGAATTGCTATTAAAACAAGCTTTCAAATGATGTATCACTTGATATACCTTTGCATTTGAAAAAAAAAGTTAGGGTTGATTGCACCCTCAAATGGTGGTTTCTTATATTTTTAAGATTTACCAAAATTTACCCAGGTAAATTTATAAATTGACCTGTTTTTAGATTTTTTTAAAAAGTAAGTGGTTTTCAAAATACAGAATTTATTCCAGTTAAGGTTTCCACCCTGTATATATTTTTGTATTATTTTATTTTAAATTCCACCAACCAATCAAACGGATTCCCTGAAAAAAACCTCGTTCGATTGTGCTTCTTCCCACCACTTCAGCTCACACTAATTAATACATCTGATATGCATATATAGAGGTCAAAGTTTTTAAATTCGTTTCAGTGCGGATCAAATCAATAAACGATTCACATTACATTTAATTTCGTATTTAGCGTTTTATTTTTCAAACGATTTCCAACAAGAAAATGAAGAACTGTGTCCTAATTTTGTGCTTAATTTTGATTATTGGATTTACGACATCCTCGCCAGTTGGTAAGTAACTAAATTTTGATTTTTAGTTATTTTAAAAATATGTGTGCCTTTTATTTTAAATTATGTGAGTAAAATTTATAAATTCTACATTAAAATAATTATGCCTACATATATGTATGTTTGGAAAAATACTATTCAATTAACATTTTACTTATTTAATATCAATACATTTTATAACGTTTTTATTAAGGTTTACTTTTTTGTAATCCTTTAATAGTTTTTTAGGAATGTTTTTTATACCTTGCACAATTATTTGACTTCCAAATGAATGCTTGCAATTAAATAATTTTATTTAAAATATTGGTTCAATCGGAAAAAACTTAACTTACAACTTTAATCATTTTTGAGCTATTGACTTATTTTTTTGGATGGACTTATGTTTTATTAAATCAAACAATCTATTTATAAACCTTAAACATTTATTGTGTATTCTATATAAAGACGAAGGCTGAAGACTTGTTTTATCCAATAAATTATTTGAATCGACAAGATTATGTACTTTTTTATAATTGGGTTTGTTTATTTCCAATATTTGAATTATATTTTCCTATTAGAATTAAACAAACCCAGATATAAAAAAAATTACATAATCATGTCGATTAAATTCAAATCCAAATAATTATTACTCTTATATGTAATATACAATAGTAAGTTAAAAGATAAACCATGTCTTTAATTAGGTATTTGTCAGATTATTTCATTCATTATTTTTTACTATTGATAAAAACCATATGTTGTACTGTGTGCACAAAGCATGGTCACGAATTGTTGGCTCTCTGTTTGAAATTTTTAAACACCCTGTATTTTTAAGTCCACAGCACACGCTCTATTTCGGAAATCTAACTTATAATAAGAGAATCATATGACCCTTGATGACATTTGACCTCTTGTCACGGCCTACCGTAAATTAATTACTGCATACTGCAGGAGTATGTTATGTTATGTTATCGATAAGAGGAAATTCTTCGATTCCTAAATTTAGAAATGACCAAAAATTTGACGCGTACATTATTTTGTTATTATAATGACGTCAAAGATTTATGTTACATTGATAAATAATAATAAGCAAATTGAAATAAATAGAACAACTTGTAGAAATAATTACATCATTTTTTTTATTTAAACTTTTATTTGTTACAGGGAATGGACCGTCACAAGACATGGCAAAAAGACTCAAAAGAGGTTAGTACATTTTTCAATTTCAACAATAACTATATATTATACAGTAAATTTACTAAGTATTTGTATTTATTTCGCTTAAACATTGAAGGGTTGCAAGTTAAAAAAGAAAAAATTTCTTGTAAGTCTTTATTTCCCTATTTTCATTTCATAATAATGAATCATTATACATTTAAATTATGTGGCCCAATGACAACTTGGATATTATATTATCAACACTCGTTACTAGTGATCGGTTATGGCCTAGGCACTTAAAATGATTTAAACCAATTGAGTTAGATTTTTCAATTTCTGTCAGATCGATCTAACCTCACTTTTTACTTTGTACGTTTTTTTTTTACAAAAAATGTGCATTGAAGATGAAATGGTGTATGCCATTCGGCCAAGAAGTTTTTTTTTGTGCTTTTTTCAGCTAAGCACAAAAGACTTACTTCTTGCCTAATGGCATAAATAACAATTTTAAGATACCTATTAAGAATTTTTTTTCAATTTCCTATAGCTACTACAATTTACATACATAGGTGCGATTTGTATATAATTAGATGCTCTTTAAAAGTAGTTCCAACAATTTTACTACAACGCCACCGAAATCATATTTTTTAATAAAAAACTTTGTTTTTGCATTTAACCGCGAAACGGTTAAAAGTACAGTTAAAAAGTTTTTATAGGAAATTTAATTTACTATAAAAAAGGTTTATGCAATATTCCAATAAAATGTATAATTTAAAGGATATTTCTATTCTATTCTATTTAATAAATTTTCTATTCTATTTAATAAATTTTCCTATCAAATATTGATAAACTAATTAGTTTTATGTTGTTTTACGGCACAACTGTTAAAGTACAGGTAAAATAAACTTTTATAGAAATTTAAAATTTCTACAAAAAAGTCGTACGGATATGCCATAAAATGCATAGTTTAAAATATATAGAGCATTAAATAAATTTTACTGTCAAATATTGATAAACTAATTAGTTCTTTGTTGATTTACGGCACAACAGTTAAAGGTACAGATAAAAAGTGAAAAATACTTTTTTTAGGAAATTTCATTTCCTAAAAAAAATAGTTAATAATAATGTATAGTTTAGAAGATATAGAGCATTTAAATTAAAATTTATGAAATGCTCTATATCTATTAAACAATGCATTTTATTAGATTAATGCATAACATCTTTTTTATAGGAAATTTAATTTTATAGGTATAGGAAAACTGTAAAATCAAAATAAAAGTACCTACTTAGGATTAAGATTAAGGGCTAAAGGGCATTTTTTTCTCGATTATACAAGGTGTCCCTAAACTTAGTGGCATAAATTTAGGACTTATTTATTTATTTTAATTATTTTGCACATTTACGAATCGTTTTACGTTCGAGGTCCACAGGGCCGAGCCGTGCCGGGGGTGCAAGGGGTGCATGGCACCCGGGCGGCACTAACACAGGGCGGCAAAATATCATCACAAAAATTGTATCATATTATCAAGAATAAAAAAGCCACCTTGCAATATGCAAAAAACTTTCTAAAAATCACTTGCGTTTTATTGATGTCAGAGTTTCAAGGAATCATCGTTTTTATTCTACTCATAAAAACAATGCCAAAATTGTGCTTTCAGGCGGCAATGATAAAAAAGACATAACCGAACGCGCGATAGCCACAAAAAATGATGATGACAATTTTCTTAAAGCCCGGTTTATAGATTGCCGCCCGCCCGCTTCGCTTTCCGTCCGTCCGCTTCGAGTTCGTCAAGTTTCATGTTTTACGGAAGCGGGCTTACGGGAAACCAATCAAATCGCGCGCTGTGTACCACGTGATATTGTTTACAAGCTGAACTGTTAAGTTAAAGCATAATTTCTTCCGATTTCACGGCTGCGTATTTCAGCAATTTTTAGTTTTTCTATTAACGTGAGGCAAATAGGATGCAAACATAGTAGTTTCTTCTTTTAATGCGTTTAAGTTAAAAACTAGTTAATGATTTAAAAGGCATCTTTCCGAATTTATTTGTAGCTTTAAGAATATTTTTGACGATGCCAGTTACTGTTGCCCATGGAGAGCGGTCATTTTCGAAATTAAAACTAATTAAGACCCTATTTAAGATCCAATATGAGTCAATTCAGGCTTTCAAATTTAGCAATTATAAGTATTGAAGAAGATATTTCTAACAACTTGGATGTAGGCGACTTGATTAGGGAATTTGCTATTAAAAAAGCGAGAAAAGTAGATTTTAGTTTTTTAGTTTGGTTTAATTGTTTTTGTTTTTTTTTTAAATGTATTTTTATTTTATTCTTTTATGTATTTGTTAATAAATACTTTGTTATTTTACTATAAAATTTGTTACCTATATGTTTATTGAGAATGATAAATTATGAACTCCTTCCCTACCGACAACCTAATTTTTTACATTAATGGGGGCGGCAAACTTAATTCTTGCACCCGGGCGGCAGATACCCTAGGCTCGGCCCTGGAGGTCCATTAAAAGTTTCTGAGGAACGGCAAAAGATATCTATTTGAAATTTTTAAAGCGTTTATTATTCAATTAAGTCTATTTTTCTAAAATATTTTAAACAAAATGCCACTGTGAAATCATCTTTGATATTTTAAATAGAACACCCCATATATTTTTACATTTTTAAATTCTAAATAAAATTTTGAGTAAGTAGACTTAAATGCTTTTAAATTTCAAATCTATATTTTTTTCCGTTTCCCAAAAACTTCCAATGGATCACCCTGTATATCAAGTGCTGTTTTTTAGATTGTTATATGACTATAGATTGTAAAGCAAAGTATAATCGTCAAACTAAATGATCAAGATTTGTTTCCAACATATATTTAATATAAGATAAATACAAATCTGTTGTTTTATTAAAAAAAAAATTAAAAACCAGAAATATTTTTTTTTACTTAAAAAGAATTACAATTGTTATTTTCTTTAAGTATAATTTTTGTATTAGGAAAAACATAAAATATTTAAATAAAAAAATGATTTACAACAAATTAGAGAATTAAAAATCTGTTTAGGTTAAAATAATAAGAATGGCTGTGTAAAAAATTTAAATGACGTGATTTTAAACTGTTAAAATTTTTCATGGAAGGAAAATCGTGTTAAACTGTGTAATAATATAAAATTGAGATTTTTTATTATGTATAATCCATAACTGTGGTTTTAAATTATCTATTCGACTTGTCTCATAGTTTAATAATATTTCATTTCTAATAATTCCTATGACGAATCATATTTGACCACATACACACAAACAATCTTATATGGAATCACCCAGTAATTACGATAAACAGTATTTTACTAAAAAAATGAATTTAAAATAAAAAGTCCCTTATCCTAACCAATTTTATTAGAAAAAAAAAGATTCAAAACATTAAAACAAATTTTGTATTGAACAAATAAAAAAAAGTGAGAATAAACTTTACGATAAATTAGAATTTAAGAAGAAATAAAAGGTTTTTGTTAATTAAATAATCAGTATTGCCACCTCTATCATCAATGTAAGCATTAATTCGACGAGACTTGCTTTCTATTAAGTTATGAATTTCTTCTTGGGAAACATTTCCTCGCCCCACTAAAACTGCTTTTATTAGTTTTTCTGTATAGCCAGGTCTATTTTGACGAGCTATAATCCTTCTGTTAACCTTAATCCACAAGTTCTCGATTAAGATCCGGTGAACAAGAAGGCCCCTCTAAAACAGTCACACTTTCCATTTACAAACAATTTTGGCAACTCTGCTGGTAAATGGAGGTGCATTATCCAGTATAAATCACTGAAAGCACTTTTTCAGAGCCTTACTACGGGTTGTAGAACTAAATCCACATGCCTTGGACCTCTAAGGGATTGTCTAATGGGAATTAAAGGAATGTTTTCACCAATCATAAAGCCACCCCAAAACATTACACTTCTTCCTTTGCCTTGATGGACCGATCGTCCAGCTCAGAGTCTAGCTTGTCTCCCACGACCTTTTAAAATAAGAATTCTGAATTTATTCGAAAATAAGACATTTCTATAACCTTCAATTGTCCAGTTTTAATGCTTCAAAGACCAATTTAAATGACCAACTATATTTTGCACTAATATTTTTGGAAACAATAATTATTAAATTAACAAAAACCTATTATTTCTTCCTAAATTCTAATTTATTGTAAAGTTTATTCTCAGAGAAATTCACATTTTTTGTAATCTGTTCTCTAGAAAATAAATTAAACAAATACAAATACTTGGTAGCATAAAACTTACAAGAAATTTTTCCTCTTGCAGAAATCCCTATCGCGGCCGATCTAAAAAACACCCCGTGCGCCCCCAACGATTATTTCAAACTCGAGTGTAACACCTGCTACTGTAACATCGAACGTAGCGGTTACCTGTGCACGGAGAACTTCTGCCCGGACTATGTGCCGGACAAAACCTCAGAAATCCGCCTGTCGAACGACACCAAAGTGGTGATAACCAACGGCGACGTGAAATTGGTGAAGGAGAACGCCAAAGAGGCTCAGATTGACAACAACCTTTTCATGTTACCGCAAGGGAGGGATTTAAAGTTACCTGTTGACGGTAGTTTAGAAGGTGTTACGGCAAAAGTAACTGGTAACGGTACTGAGGGTGTTACGGGTAATGCAACAACGGTTTCGGAGGGTGTCACCAAAATATAATGGCTTGGATATGTAAGTAAAAGTATATTCACCAAACCTATTCATTAGAAGTTTATGGAGAACTGAAAAAGATATGGATTTGAAAGCAATAAGCAATAAAATTTTTAACTCTTTTCGAGATAGTTAATTTTTTTCAAAAATTTTGACATCTATTCGTGAGGTATTTTTCTGATAATTTGGACCCCCTTCCCCTTGGTGAGATGTGGTAGACCCCCTCCTATCCCTCACAGGAGATTCTAGCCATGAAACTTTCTTTGCGGACAACATAATAAACCCCAAAATTATATTATATTACATATTCTTTAAACTCAAAAGTTGACGTGAGATTTGCAATGACCCTCCTCCCTTAAAATGAGATTTGGTGAGATTATACTATACCCCTCCCCCCTTACTAATATGTCTGTATTACCACTAATTGTAATGTAAAAAGTTAATTTATACCTGTTAACTAAGGACCACTCTATCGAAAGCCATTAATAGTATTTATAAATTTTATACAGGGTGTCTGGTATTTACGTTGACTTTTTGGTCACTTTAAATACCAATAACTTTCTTATTTCAAACGAAACTACCATACAATTTTCACATCATTCGACACAAAATAATGTTCTATATTGAAATGCTGTAGCATTCCATATAGGTACCTAAAATGAATATTTACAGAGATATTACAAAAAATGTGAAAAAAGAGCTTATTTTTCTATTTGTAATATATTTGATATATGAATCGTCTAATTTCAAAAGCGGCCATCTCCAATTTTTTTTTTAAATGAGTTACCTATTTACACTAATAAAATTGAAATATTACGTAGTATATTAGTGCAAAATTATATCCCAACAAAAACGGCTATTTGCAAGAAAAATAATTCATTAAAGTTTTCTGTTAGTTTTAATAACGGCCATCTCCATTGATGTTTTAAGTACAAAAATGTACTTAAAATGCCCATTTCCCTTTTGAAATATATGTTTTTTTAATTAAAACTTAAATCTGGTTACTTATTTTGTAGAAAAAATATTTTTAGTTTTAGTGTTTAGAATGTTTTTTTGACGTTTACTTAAAATATTCTTCAAAGGAGATGGCCGCTTTTGAAATTAGACGATTCATATATCAGTAGTGTGCATTGGATTTTCTTTTATTTAGTATTTATGAAGTAATGTCAATATCAATGTCAACGTCTATGACAATTGTCTTACAATGGATGATAATAATAACACTTATCAATATATTTATTCTAAACATGTTTTATACATATGACAAGTCCGGAAATGTTTTAGGAAGAACAATTGGAACTTTTATTGTTTAATATCAGTAAGTATTGTGCGTTGGATTGTTTTTATTTAGTATTAATTTAAAAATAAAATAAAAAAAATATCAATTTAAAGTTCCAAAATTATCTTGAAAAAATAAGCAAATGTAACAAATAAAACAAATCTAAAGTAATTGTTCAATGTATCGCCAGTATTGTTCACGACACATATTGGATACGTCGCAGGACACCCCAGTAGCAAAAAGATATTGGCCCAATATTCGTAATAATATTGGGCCAAAATATCTTTCGTCAGATTTTTTCTAGCATGGTCCAATATTGAAACCCAACATTGGCCCGAAGTTGTTTTACATGATATACTAGGAAAGTTGAGGGAGAAATTGAAAGAATAAAAGATAGCCACCTAGTACTTACTAGGTAGTAGGATTTCTAAAAGTAATATTTCACAATCGTGTCGACAAACGTTTGTTTTCAGGAAATGTTTATGATACTTAGGGGCGCCAAATGATAAGGGGTAGAGGGGGGTTACTTGATATAAAAAGTACCCTCCAAATTCTTTGAAAAAATCTACCAATAAGACAAGTCGTGTACCGTCTATGTTATTCTTAATTACGATGAAATGCTAAAATCGTTTGTATCGTGGGCTAAAATGATCAGCTTGATCTTTATTAACGTAATAACGAATTTTATTGCTAATAAAATAAGAAATCGCATATTACCCTTGTTATTCTTACGGTAATATGCAAGAATGCGCTTTATTATTTTCACCCATTTGGTGCTAAAGGATGGTAGTCGGTTGCGCCACCCTCCCACTCAAAACTGTTCCTGCGCCACTAGCATAGACATATCCTGGAAACAAACGCGTGTCACTACATATCACTTTTAGAAATCCGAAAGCTTCGTTGACTATAGTTAATGCTATATGCCAATATAGGACCAACCTTGGATAAACATTGGCAATGATATATTAAATTATCATTTTATGCTAATATAGGGGTAACTTCTGCTAAATAAATCCAATATTGGCCCCAGATAAAATATTGGGCATAGACGAGCCCCATATAGGACCAATATTTTGTGCTACTGGGTCACCTTCAGAAGTTGTTCTCAAAATTTCTTCATGGAACAATTTCAAAACCGCTTGTCTCATTTTCTGAGTAGGGTTAAATTGGGATACCACTCATTAATAGTATATTCTGTAACAAGTTTGGAATACAGCATATTCCGCTCGAGTGAAGAGTTTGTCACACGAGCCGAAGGCGAGTTTGACGGTTTCACGAGAGCGGAATATGCAATTCCAAACTTGTTTCAAACTATACTCTTTCTACGTTTCCAAAAAATACCATAGAAAAATAATTTAATTGGAAGAAAGTGAGGTTGGATCGGTCTAAAATTTGTTAGATATTAAAAACAGAGATGTCGCCACGAGTGTTTATTCTGTCATCTGATATATCTGATATATCTGAATATTTTATTCTGTAACACTTTACGGAATATATGTCATTCCATAGATAAAAGTGATATTAGAATGATCAAATTCCGTAATAGGAGTAGATAACAGTTCTTATTGTTCTTTCTAAAACTTTTCCACACTCGCCATATGTTTAAAACATGTTTAGAATATCTTGATTAGTGTAATTATTATTATTACCCATTGTAACACAATTGTTGGCATTGACATTACTGATATTACAAATAAAAAAATAAACTGTTTTTTTCACATTTTTTGTAATATCTCTGTAAATATTTATTTTAGGTATAGGGAATGGCGCAGCATTTCAATAGAAAACATTATTTTGTGTCGAAAGATGTGTAAATTGTATGGTAGTTTCGTTTTAAATAAGAAAGGTATTGGTATTTAAAGTGGCAAAAAAGTCAACGTTAATACCAGACACCCTGTATAAAATTTTGAAATACTATTAATGACTTCTGATAGAGGGCTCCTTTGTTAAAAGGTACACCAAAAATTAACTTTTTAACATTACAATTAAGTTGTGGTAATACAGACATATTAGAAAGACCAAAATTTTTGAAAAAAATTAAATACCTGAAAAAGTGTTAAAAATAAAAAAACAAATTTTAGTATTTCTAGAATTTTATGTAAAATTTAAAAATACAATAATATTTTTATGGTTCCTTTTAAAAAACCAAAGTTGATATTACTGCCGGTTTAACCGGAACCGGAAAATAATTTTAAAAAGAGTCATTGCCTTATATTTGCTATACAAATTTCAAATCGATATCTTTTTCCGTTCTCCATAAACTTTTTATTAATAAGTTAGGTGAATCACCCTGTATATATACATGAGACGTCATTGTAACTGTACTCGATCAATCGAGAACGTTTTCGATTTAATAAATTGGCGAAAATTTAAAAAGTGTCAAAGATCAAATGTTTCATATTTTGGTTGACGTTCTTTCATTTAAAACAATTAAATTAATTTGAAACAAATATGCGGAATGCAGGCACTTAACATGCAGATACAAAGTTAAAAAATTATTGTACTGATTCTGATTGTTTGCGTTTTTTTTTTCAGAGGAATTTTCCTGTACCCCGGGCCAAAACTTCAAAAAAGACTGCAACGTTTGTACTTGTACACTCGATGGAAAGAATGCCCTTTGTACTCAACAAACTTGTATTAATTTGGAACTTTCAAATTTGGATGTACCAACCGAAAGTACTAGTACCGCTACAAGTACTTCCACAACAAAAACTGAAAATATCTCTTTAGTTTAGGTACTTTCTTTATTTTATTTTAAAGGCATTTTTCTTAGTGTATTGTAAGGTTTTGTAGGATAATTTTTGTCTTGTTTTAACATAATAATTGACTTCTTAACGTTGTTTCTACATAATGTATTATTTTTAGTATCGTTCTTTGTATGTATGTGAAAAAATTTGATTAATCAAAATTACTTAATTTTATGTTTACTATAATAATTGTAATGTTAATTTTAGATTCAGAATTGTAAAATTTTAGGTAGCTCAAAAAATATGTATTTTTAATACCTAGTGACTAAAAATTATTAAATGTTTGGTAACTATTGCTTAAATAAATTTTGTAACTCTGTATTTTAACCTTGTGAATGTAAATGTAGTAAATAAATGGATTTTCAATAAATAGTTTTGTTTTTATTTTACTTTTAAGACATATTTTGAGTTATCCCGTAGAATGAAATTGTTTTAATAACTTTTTCTATTACCACCTTTAAAACGCTCATTATCGTACATGTTTCCATGACATTAAGTGACCTTTTAAATGCACATTGACAAGTTGTGGCTTTATGGCGTTTTAGTCACGGGCTGAAAGCAACAGGTTTTTTGTCACGGGCTGAAGTTAGTTTTAAGTTAGTTGGCATTAACTGTTGTCAAAGGTCATACAATCGTTAAAAAAAAGTGCATTTCTTGTAAAATAATACTAAATGTGATTTTTTTTTATTATCTCAATACAAAAATACAAAAGTATTAAATAGTTTTTTAAAGCCAATATTTGAAAAGATTATATGAACGTTTGTACTGACCTTTTTATTTCGCCTTAAAAGTGCAGTTAACTAGATTTAACTGATGAAGAGTTAAAAATGTTGAGTCCATAAAACATTATCTTTTCTTTAACTGTGAAAAACTGCTTCTATATCGAATGTTAGTCTATTTTTAAGGGATAAATTTTGATTTACACAGAAAAGGTTGAGATTTTAACGCCGGTAGATTCCAAAGTTATAAATTCTAACAGGAATTCCAATAAATACCAGTGGCGGCTGGTGGGTTTTGGGTACACCCATATCTCAGTTATTAGACATGGGACCCACATCAAATTTATATGTGTTTACAATGACATTATATAGACAAGTTTTGCGCAAGCAGAATTTAAATTGAAGTTTGCGAAAAAAAGGTTAGTTTTTAGTGTGCCCCCCCTTCCGAAAAAAAGTTAGTTTTTAGTGTGCCCCCCCTTCCTGCCCCTCAATTTAAGATAATTCAAATTAAAGTGGTGCAATTTATAATTCTCTACAGTTTATCTACAAATTTCTGATAAATACAATTGTGACTTTTTGTATTTTTAACATTTCCTGTGTAAATTTGTTTAATACATTGTGCAATAATTGCCCAAAGTATTAAACATTTTTTCAAAAACCGCACATGTCATAAAATGCTCAAATCTAGCTAAATGCGCCATCTAGTAGCATATCAGACATCAAGTTTTTTGTTTATCCTGAAAAATGCAGATTTTGGACATTTGTCGTCAATTATAATAATAAAAAATATCAAAGGATAAAATATATTCTTAACAGTTAATATAATATTTTAAAGTATCAATAACTGTTGTTTAATTAAAATAATAACGGGCAATGTTAATGGTAAATATTTCGTCAAAAATGTTTATTGGGATGCTTACTTTATTTTCGTATAGATATCGCTTTTAACAAATATTTAATTTAAATCATGTTTTAGATAAAATTAAGTATTTGTCGTAGAAGAAGTACAGTATGCAACTCGTTTATAAACTTTTCTAGGCACTCATTTAATTAAGTACTCGCTCGCAAGCTCCCTCGTGCCTAAATTGGCGTTTATCAAAACTTGATATAGGTACTTAATATACTACTAAAGCTTTTGAATCCACCGTTCCATTTTTTCCAACCTTTATGTCCCACCCTGTATATTTTAGAAAATATTCAAAAGAAAAATACTATTAAATGCTTTTTTTAGTTTATCCTTTGCCCATAAGATGTCGCCCTAGTGAGGCGCTTACAGACATCTAATTTTGCAAGATAGAAATACATTATAACTGGACGACCTGACCAAAGATGGCGCTACACGACTTGTTATAAATTATTTTTGAATTTGGACAAAATACATCAGAAAAAATGGTCGCACCAAATGTACGTATTTTTTATTAATTTGTAAACCTTAAAAAAATTCCATGGTCAATTTATTTACCTTCGATATGACAAAGTTTCATCAAAATCGATTTATCGGTTCAAGAATATCTAGATTGTGTTTGAAAACTTACCAAACTGCTAAAAAATACAATAAAACAAATTTTTGTTCGATTAATTTTTATTGTTAAATATTTTTTTCAACATTTCGACTATTTGAAATTTTTTCTAAAATTTGTCCCACAATTTTTTAGTTAAATTAGTTTTTTAAAAAATTATTATATTATATATTATATATATAATTATTTAGTCCAATTTATCCTTCCTATTATTTAACCATTTTGTGGTAAAAACATCAGTAAAACACCGGAGAACACAAATTAATTCTAACAAAAGTTTAATAAACTAAAAAAGTATAAAATTGCAATAAATAATAATAAAAATTATTTTGAGTATTTTTTAAAAAAATAACCATTTAAAAATTTTTTTTTAGTACTGTTAAATATGTAAATAACAATTTTTCCAATAAGGTATATGTATGTACATATGTATGTATATGTTCGATTAATGATCGCTCGTCTTGAACAAGAAAATTAAAAATCGCAATATTCATCGTTTTTAATCAGTCGTCGCAAATCAGTTTTCATACGGCCATCATGCCACAAAAGATATTAATTGGCATTTTAATATTTCGACATTAATTACAACTACCAGTGTTTGAGTTTCAGATTTATGGGATACTTACTGTTTTTTAATTACCTAAACGTTTTTGTTAGCAATCGTTCAGTAAAATCAAAAATAATAAATGTCTATTCTTTGGTAAAATGTTTTTAAAAGTTTACACTGAGAAAAAGAAATTGTTTATGTTTATACATATTAAAAACAAACGATAGTCGCAGCATGTTAAAGAAAGAGTTTTGCATGTTAAATTAAGCATTTTTTAATATTAAATTACTTATTTTTAAGTTTTTGACCGAAAACGTTAACTCCAAACAGAGAAAAATTTGTTGGATTTGGTTTCATAATTGTATGAATTTGTTCAATAAATTGGTGCTAAAAAGGTGACAGGAAAAATTTGTGCTAAATTGTAGCAAATAATTGTAGTAAACTTATTATATTAAAAACTTACATAATTTATTTAATATTTTATGGTAAAATTGCACAAATTGTGGCACAACACAACATTGTTATAATAATTTCTCCAATTTATTTAAAAAATTTATTAATTTAGATACTTATGCATTCAGCGACTTAAACAAAAAATAAAAAAAATAGAATACCTAAACTTAATATAAACTGACACTGACAACATAAAATAAAATTCGTATAGCTAATTCTAATAATATTGAGATATAATTCAACATGAAGTGCGTCTCCACTTATAATAGTACAAATGTTGATAGATTAAATATGTATTCAGCGACCAATACAAAAATGTTGTAAGAATAGAATTAAGTTAATAATATTATTATTTATATTATTAACTAAAAACATAAAATAAACATAAATTACAAACTAATGTAAATAGTAAGCTGGTCAATAATGAAGCACAGTAGGAACATAGAAACACTTTTTATTCTCATTTGATCACCAGGTCAGAATTATTGATTTGTCCCAGTCTCTGAACAATTTTGCAAATACCTACCTACTATCTAAAAATGAAACAGTGGATTTTCACTGATTGACAGTGCATATTAACTATTTGCCGCAGTGATAAGTATAACACTAGCAATTAGTGAATACTCACTTTTTCATATAGCGATTTCTTTGCACTAATTTATTTAGTGGAAAGTACACTGTACAAATTAGTGAAATAGGTTTAGTTCAAACAAGTTAAAATTTCACTATTTTATGTCGAGAGTTCCGGAAAAGTAGTGATAATAAAAAATACTAATTTGGAGAAGTTAAAGTTTCACTAATTTATATTGAAAAACACTAATTTTACAGTGAACAATAACTCACTGACGGAAATAGTGAAAATTTCACTGTTTTACTTTTAGAGAGTACCTACCTATTCGGAAAAATAATATTTAATAATTATTCACCAGAAATGTTGTACTAACCTCACAATGATACACTTCCTAACATTACTAAAACTGCAAACTGATTATACAGATTGCAGTTGAGCGACCGGTCGGCGTCTTATTTTAAGCAGGAGATCATTTCATTGGTTATCTTAGGTGGTGTGATGCTTCACACCCGAACAAATTGTCCAATATTGTAAAATTTATATTCTAACTCATACTATATTTATACGAATTATTTAAAACATTTATTTTTGAAATATTTTTAACAACAGACTTCAACTCTTTTCTTGACAATATTGTGCAAATGGTTAAATATAAAATCTTACTTTTTCAACAAATTATAGAAAATTGACTAATTAGAACAACCAATCCAACTATCTTGGATAACGTAGTACATTTTTAGAAAATTATGCTCCAATGGCATGTTGCACAACTTTGTGCAATGTTTTTAAACGTATGTATCTTTCTCTGTGCATTAAAACAAACAACTTCAATTCTTGAATCAATACTTAGTTTTAAAGAGTTTAAATTAAATTAAACTTTAAAGCAACAAAAATGTTTATTTAAAATAACATCAAATATTAACATATTTATTTACTTGTTTTAACGATTCTACATTATACATCTAATATCTTGACAATGTCAAATTAAAATAAAGAAACTCTTCCATTTCAATGCTCTGAAAGAAGTAATTGTAAATTATTATTGTAGAATTTTGGGGACCTATTACCATAATAAAATAGTATTTTATTATGATTATAAAAAGCCACAAAAAACCTATAGCATATAGTATACTATGTCAACTATGTCAACTATGTTAAAAACGAATATGGGTTTATTTCAATTTTGGGCGCTAGTTTTAGCGCCTTTGGTCAGGTACACCATTTGTCAAACCATCCTGGTAGTTGCTTTGCATTAAGTATTGGTGAAATTGTAAATATGTACTTATAATTAAAGTTTAATTACCATTTAAGGTAGAGCTCAGTTTGTGTTTTTATAAACACTCATATTATAAAAAATTATAAAGATAGACTTGGGCTGATATCATATGTTACCTAATGATTAGTAAGAAAATATGTATTTTTAATGTCATATAAATGATCGTACTAAATTAAAAATTACTGCACAATATTAATTTAAAATATTTAACATTTAATAACAATTTGGACCACGCTTGTTTTTTTAAGAAGCGCCTAATTTCTATTAAAAATAATGCTAAAGTACT